GTCTCAAACTTTGTAAAATGGTTTGTGTTTGCAAATTGTGTTATACAGTTTGTCTGACCTTCAAGGACGCATATGATCACCGCGATCGTTGTCACAGGAAAGTAGTACGAATGAAGAAAATAACCGGCACTAAAATCGAATAACAAAACTTCATTCAAATGTAAATGCAGTAATTTGGTGTTCACAAGGTTAGCAGCCATGAAAAGACATCTTCTTCAAATGAATCAATCTACTGCAAATTAAAAATTTTTTTGAATTTTTCCGTCAAACGGAAAATATTCAGAAAGAGATCGCAACTTCCTCGACGGATAACGAGACAAACTTGTCGGCGAATCAATCGTTAATTATAGATAATGTTATAGGATTGAAAGGCCAATAATGTATTATACTTAATTAGGAACCGGGATCAGCTTTATTTATTTATTTATGAATACCAATAATAACTTAAATTCATAAAAATTTTTTCAATTTACATCTTAAAATAAAATAACTCAAATCAAATCTTGGCAGTACTTACACATTCAACATATTGAATATCCATCATACTTAATGTGTGAAGGCCTTCAGGCATAAAGTAAAATCAGCCACACAGCTCATATCTCATACCCCTGCTACAGCTCTACAAAAATATAATGACAAACTAGGTATTGATAGTAAAATAACTAAAGACACTGCTGAATTTTTAGAATTATTAAACAACTGGTTTGACCTCGGCAACGTGTGCCATCCAAATGATAACAGAACTCCATTCACAACCCCATATGGACTGCATTTGGAAGAACAAGATTTCTATCTAAAGTTTACGAAACATTTTCAAGTATGACATGCATTGGTAAAAATAATATTCATTGTTTCAAAAATCTCTATTAATGCACATAAATGGAACTCGACGGTTTTTAAATATATTAAAAGAACATGGGTTAAAATACTTATTAACCTCTAAAATAAATCAGGATGCACTTAAAAACATATTTGGTCAAGCTCGGTCAAGAGGGGGTCTAAATGACCACACATCACCACTAAATGTATTATACAGACTAAGGATGATTATTTTAGGTAAAAACCCAGGCATTGTCTCAACTTCTTCTAATACAAGTGACAACAATCAAGAAGAATTTATAGTAGCAAAGACAATCAAGTATATTAATTTAATTATAACAGACCAACAAAATAATGAAAATATTGATGACAGATAATGATATAGACAGTGATGATGTTGAAAAATCAAATAATAATGAAATGACAGAAGAGGCTGTAGAGTATTTAGCTTGATGGGTAGCTAAAAATATAGACAAAAATTTCCTGAACTTGGGTGTACTACAACAGAATCAAAAATATCTAGCATAGATGAACATGACTATCTACTTCCTTCATGGACTGATTATTTATTATATGGTGGCCTGATAGTCCCTAGTAATAATTTTAAAAAATACATTTTTAAAGCTGAAAGAATTTTTAGTAAAATTATTAATCAGAAAATCCTTAAAGGACCAGGTGTAGTTAAATAACTTTTACATAAAATAATGAATAGAATAAATATTGAAGAAAAGTATATACCTGTTATACATACTTTTGTAAGGCAAAAGATCTTTATTCGTATGAAATATGCAAATAAAAATCATCAAAATCTAGTTGCAAAAAGGAAAGCAAAATTACAATTACAAAAACTTCAAAAGCTAAGAAAACTAATGACTTGAAAATATAATTTTATACTTGTTTATTATGTGTTTTTAAATAAAAATAATTACATATTTTTTGTATATTCTGTATATACGATCAGTGTTTTTATTATTACAATACTATCTCTTCCAATTTATTTAAAAACAATTAAAAATATTATAATTTTAGAAACCATTAATAAATAAATAAATATAATGACAAATATTGAGTATAGAACAGGTATTATTACTTTTATCAACTAGGTATTTAAAAAACTAGTTCAATAGATATTGACATATTGTTACAGTATATTATATTTATTTCTTTTAGATAATTATATAGCTTTATTCATATATTCTACACTTACAGCATTACATACCTAGCATTGCAGGCTACAAGTACAGTAATTATAGTAGGTAGTAGGTACTAAAATCGAAACCATCCATGAAAACAAACAAGAGCCTACGGCAATAGGCATATTGTATTCGTACGATGGTCGTAGTGTACGGCAATGACGTCACCGGGCGGGGAATGAATGCATCCGTTCACCAAGAATAACTATAATTCATGTATTTACATAATGACGACGATCCAAAAAACTAACGACGGCTGGTTCACGTGTTGACAATAATCGACATGTCCAGAACCTCTTCTACGCACCTCCACAGAATCACGTGATTACAACAATCAATCTATGTATGAACTCTGGTACCCACGTAGTGGCGTCCACTTGTTTGTAGATACGGATATACTATAATTCCTCTTCTAAATTATTAAGTTTTCTTTACACGGAATAAACTATAATAGTAACTTTAAATGCGATACTATATTAATTAAATAAACAAAAAGAAAACTGTCGGCACAAGTCTCGCTAACCGTCACACACGGCAATGACTCACTCCTACCCCTTGCACCTAGACAACTGGTCGTAGCAGTCTCACCAACTTTATCTTTAACACGTAATTATCGCTTCGATGCCTCATATTAACTCACTTTTATTAACTATTTTATTAACTTTATTAACTATTAACTCAATAATGTTCAGTGTTCAATGCATTTAAATCGAATTTCGAATAATTACATTTTTTTTTTAAATTTAATTTGCTTTTGTTGAAAAAAATATTACAACAAAGAAAGAAGAATAATTACTTTTAATAATAATTAATAAAAAAAGAAAACACAATTAAATATCATTATCATTTACTAATTTATTACAATATTATTGAATTATAATTTTTAAGTTTTTTTTTATGGGTTATAAAGGTGTTTTGCAGCTTCTACCAAGCCCTTCCACCGTCAGTAGCAGTTTTAAAACTTGCTTCTCCGTTCATCACACTTATATCTGCATTGACTCTATCTCGCCATCATTGCCGAAGTCTTGCCGAGGCGCTTGCCAGTTAGGTTATTTCATAATCTCCGGTTAATTCATTTCTCACAGGTTCGTATATTTTCCTCAACAACTTCCTCTCGAAAATAAGGAGCTTCTAATTTTTTAGAGTTGTCGACCACGTCTCACAGACATATGTCACTATTGGGTGTAAGCTAAATACATTTTTTCCTTTGTCGCCCATGATAGCATTCTTGAACTTAACAGTTTATTCAGTGAGAAATATGCACGATTCGCCGTGTTTATCCTAAATTTAATTTTATTGTGCATAATGTTTTTATGATTTATGTTCATTCCTAAATATTTTAAATTATCGACCTGTTCAAAGGTGTATTGTCCGACCACCAAATCGTTCTTTTTTATAAGCGTATGGCGACGAATGGATCTTGGCAGGAAAAAATTGTTCGTGTCCGTATATAATATTGCCTACATTTAGCCCCTTTTTTGCAGCCATCAAAATGTGATAACATTGATAAAACGATAACGTCATTTTTATTATAATAGTTTTATATATTGCTAAAATAGTTAAATACATTAATAGTTAAATCAATTTAATAATACACAATTCGAAAAAAAAACACAATATTCACTTACGATCGTCATTAAAAAGGTACAATTCAAAAGTAAGAAAAAATATAACATTTTTATTACTCTCATATTTCTCCATATCTCTAAATTCAAAGTACCATATTTTAATCTTTATTAAACGAGGGCAATTAATTAATTGTAAGATACAGCAATACTCAATTATGGCACCGAAAAAAAATTTGTAAATTAAGGTTTACTACAGCTGAATTGGCAGGTAGCTTATTTTATTATATATTATATTATACCCACTACCATCTTTACTGGTTCCTATTAAAGGGTATTATATGATGTCCAATATTCTGTGGAAGGAACAACATTAAAATTTTTATGGTATGAGTGTTATGGACCAAGTAGTTAGTAAAATGTATTAATAATCCAATTTTGTATTTTAAATACTGTGCAAGATGATTTTGCCACAAATTTAGGAAAAGATGATTTTTGTACTTGGAAATGACTAAATGTGTTAGATGGGACTCATAGTTTAAACTTTAAACAGTTAGATACGCTTTTATAACAAAAATACAAAATATTAAACCTAATTATAACATTTATATTATATTTTCGCTTGAAGTGTGTATTATTAAATTTATTTAACTATTTTAGTAATATATAAAACTATAGTAATAAAAATGACGTTATCGTTTTATCAATGTTATCACATTTTAATGGCTGCAAAAAAGGGGCTAAATGTAGGCAATATTATATACGGACACAAACATTTTTTTTCTGCGAAGATCTATTCGTTTGTAGCGTGCTATTATCATTTTACTAGAGAACAGGATGAAAGTAATACTGACGCACCTGACATACACACAAACACCTCATAGAAAAAAAAACATGTATCACTAGCAGTTCCGAGGTCTCCATCGAACAACTACTGATAGATTGTCAACGAAGAAAAAAAAATACAACACATCAAATAACCAGTTTGAATGTTTACAACATACTAAAATTTATTAAAGACACCAAATTATTCAAAACCATATAATAGTACATAACAAGATGTACATATCTATTTGTTCCTTTTTATGTTTTATGAATTCAAATTATTTTTATTTATTTATTTTTTCTATAATCAGCAGTTCACACTTTTCTTTGATGTATTTATAAAAAAAAAAAAAACTATCCTAATATTTTAAAAATAATTTTGTAACTATGATCACGGCCAAAAACTATGTTATGAAGCCTTTATAATTAAAATAATTTAATAATTTAATATTTTTACATTCGAGCCATGATTTTTTCGCATATTTAATTTCAGAGATTCCATAGTAATTAGCAAATTAAACTTGGGTTGCCATACGTCCTGGATTCGCTGAGACACTACTAGTTTCGTGTTTTTCAGTATCCCAAAACTAAAAAATAAAAATACCAATTTCGATAACAATTATTGATAAATATATATTGCCATCAACATGCAGTGATTGGCGAAAAAGTATCTTATATTTATAATTTTTCATTTTTATGTCATAAACAATCACACAATCCACACAAATAAAAAAATAAAGTTAATTTTTATATGTCTCAATTTTGTGCTTTTGAAAAATTTAAAAAAAAAATCTTGAAACTATAAAAGTCTAATGAAGAATATAGGCTATTATTAGGCATACATACTTACAACTTCTTTAGTGTACTTAGACACTAAAATGAATGTAAATAAATTCAGAACAATGATTAGAGTTAAAGTTATTACTAATAACAATTTTAACAAATATTTGAAAATTGTGTAAGATTAATTATTCTGATAGTATAGATTTAATGTCCTTCTAAACAATATTATTCAAATGACAATGCCTTATACCATTAATAGAATAATACAAACATAAATGAATAAAAAATAAACTTTATAATATTATAATAAATAATGAGTCAGTTATATATAGGCTATAAAAGTAAGACAACAACCCCCAAATAAATAAAAATTCAATATAAACATTATAAAACAATAATTAAATGGACATATCATAAAGTAATCAGTGGTTTTTGATTGTGTAATTCTTGTTTCATCAATCCAAACCTCCATTCATTCCTGTCTCTAAGTATAGGTCTGCCGAGTTGGTTATGTAACTCTTTGAATGATTTACGAAATAAGATGTCTTTACGTTGTGGAGATTGATGGCTATTGGTTGGCTTATTAAATGGATTATGACGACCTCTAGGTGGAGGCTGAGGTGATTTTTGTTCATTAGATTCTACTTTTAGTGATGCTTGATTAGTAGGCACCTGGACAGTTACTTGAATAGGAGACTCTACACAAATCATAATATTTTAATCAAAATTAAATACAGTCAACTATTATATTACTATGTTAATAATAAAATATATACCTTCAAGTTCTTTGAGCTGTCTTTGTAAATCAGCAACCATAAATTTCATATAATCATAACTAGCACAAGCCAATGACTTCATCCATTGTTCCATTGACTCCTGACTATCCGCTCCCAATATATAACTTCTATTATTAGGCCCATGGAATATTATTTTAAAACTAAACTGATCATCATTTTCAGCCAATTCTATAACAAAAAAAAAAAATAAAAATATGTTTAATGCCAAAAGTAAATAATTAAAATGTGACTGTAGGTACTTACAGTTAAAAAAACATGAACATGAGTATTTACTTACCAATACTACATCCTTCAAGTATGATAACACCTAATGGCTCTTTATCGCCTTTTCGGTCGAAATAGAACAGCAAGTTGCCTTTGAGAACGAACCATCTTTTCTGGTATCCCTTATTAAGTTCTCCTCGTTTGCACAGCCATCCTTCTTTATCAACTGGGGACGACGATGTCGAATATGCAGATAAGTTCTTTTCGTTTATCTTCATCGGAATTTTCTGATTTTAATGAAAATGCAATCGTTTAAACATTTTACAAAATAAACAAAACATTAAGAAGTTAAAAAAAAACTATTAGTTTTAGTAGCACTTTTAGAAATGGCTATTGCTTATTTCGCATCAGAAAACTCAAAAGTTAAAGCTTTGACCTTATCACATAATATGATTTAATCATATAGAAAACGAATACGCGTCATGG